CCCTTTTTTTTTTTTTTTTTTTTTTTGTGTGTGTGTGTGTGTGTGTGTTAGAGATTAATTTAAGGGCCTCACACATAAAACATTTAACCTAGTGTTGTAGAAATTTGACAGATGTTATATGTAGTGAACCAACACTTTCTGAACAATGGTTAAACAGTTGTAAGGATGCCTATTTTTTTTTTTTAAATATGGCTCTCTCCTATGGAAAATTTTTGGTTCTGCTTCTAGAACTTTAAAGCATTCTGCTCCCGTACTTGGCTCATAGAAATACTAATAAACATGCTCTTAAGGTAAACTTATGTGAATACCACGGTTGAACCCTATTAGCATGTGAAAGAAAAAAAAACTAAAGCCATGGTGTTAATGTTCTTTGCTGCACATTTCTAGAAATGTTTTAGAGCTAGCTTATTTTTCTATAGCAAAAACATTACATATTTTAAAAACACTTCAGTATAATTAAAAAATTATCTAAATTTCTTCCAAAAAATAACACAGAACTGAAACAACCTGTTTTTATGTGTATTTGTGTAGACCATTCTCTGAATTTCCAACTAGGCTCTTAGAATCTTCTCATAGTCTAAAGCAAGAGTTAAAGAGGAGGGAAGGCTAGGGATCTGCACAGGTGGGTCATGAGGCTGGAGATGAGTGTGAGAGACTCTCCCCTCCCCACCCTCTCCCTTCTTTCCTCAGTTGCTTTCTTTATGTGCATACAGTCTCTTGGGACTCACCATGGTGTTCTGTTTCTGGAGGTTGAGGAGTTCATTCTGATACATAGTAGCAGCAAAGGGATAGACCTCAGGCAGCTGGGCCTCCGGTTTCTTCAGTGCAAGCAGTGTATTTGCAGGGTCACCTTCCCGAATGACAGCATTGATGTGGTCCACGGCAGCCAATCCTGAGGATGGGTTCACATGGCTCCTTCAGAATAATTGTCGTCCCCCACACCCCTGCCCAACCCAGCCAGCCTTTCTTCCCAAGAACTATAAGCAGTTAGTTTCTAAGAACTCTGAAGAGCTGCAGATAGGGCACAGGCAAAACCCTGGAAAGCCAACTCAGTAATATAAGTCAGCCCAATCCTTGGAGTCAGTCCCTAGAAGAACCTCACTCAGCTTTGATGGAACTGGGGCTACAGGATCATTCCTGCCTAGTATGACTTCCTTTCAAAATCCTTGCTTTTGGGACTAGCTCTGGTCCCCTCCTCTTCAATGATACCTTCAAACTGTTTCAGTCCCTGAGGATTTCTCACCTTGTAAACTCCCTCAGCTATTTAAAACTAGGCTATTCCACCAGGCTTTTCTTCCATTGCTCCTTGTGGTTTAGTACTGCTTCCCTAAGAAGACTTAAAGCTACATGAACACTAGGAAACAAGTATTGCCCAGCTTCTGTATCCTTTCAATGAACTGGCATTTGGTAAACCCCCATAGGCACTTGGATACTTTGCCACTTCTATTTTTTCTGATACTTCATAAACTATGTAATCTTTCCACCAGTTGTTACAAGGAATTTTAGTGACCAAACTAACAGTGCTTGGAACAGCAGATTGAGCCTAGTTTACTAGGCATAAAAACTGAATTGCTGAACTAATGGAAGAACGGGTGATGCATTCTATCCCTGGAGCCTGCAGAGTGTGCCCTCTAAACAAGTCATCTGGGTAGCAAGAAAAACAAAGACCCATAGATTTCTAGAGATTTTCAAAGCAAGTTTGTCTGTGTAAAACACTACTGGACTGCAGCTACGATTATTCTACCCTTTTTGACAAGATGACAACTAATTTTCTCTACTTTTGCAAGGAGCATCCTTTCTGCTAAGAAAGAGCAGGAAACATGACTAATGGAGGTCTTTGAGTCAATCCCAACTGGAAACATGTACTTAATATAAAGAATCTTTGGATACCAAGCACTACTTTTTTATACTTAGAATTAATAGGACAAATATCCAGAAAGGAGGGTTGGCGATTGTTTGTGGTGTCTATTGCTCTGTTAAAGTTAGCCAAAGCCTTTCAGCTGCATCTGGAAATACTCTAAGTAGGATCTTGCTTCACCTCTGAGAACTTTATTATGTGGGTTTGTATAACTGGATGTTAAATATTACCAGAAACCCATACCCTTAAAACCCTTTTAATAAACTGTTTCTTCTAAAGAAGTTTCATCTTTACTCATTTATACTGCCTTTAATAAAATTTCCAGCCGTGATCTTAACATAATATAGTGTGCAATGAATGGAACGCACGAGCCAAACGCAAAAGCCAAATGACCACAGTTTAAACAAAACTGAAATCTCTGAAGACAGAACCATTGGCTTTACCACCAAAGCTGTCACCTAGGCCAATACAATGACTGCTACAAATGTAAAGTCTCAGCATTTGTTTAATAAGTTATTTTTTTTAACTTTATTTATTTGTTTTATGTGGCGCTGAGGATTGAACCCAGCGCCTCGCGTGTGCTACGCAAGCGCTCTACCACTGAGCCCCAGCCCCAGCCCCAAAGCCTCAGCATTTTAATGTAATAACCCACACTGCTGGGGAAGAGCTTGTTAAAGTACCTATATTTTATTTAGATTTTAAAGTGCTCCTCTGTCTCATTGTCACATTACCAACCAAAATAGCTTCAGATTGTTTTTATGACTACTTTCAGTCCTACCGTGCTATAAATTTCTAGATGAGGACAGATCAAAAACTTCAGAATAATCTTGTTCTGCACATTTAAAGCCACCAAACATTGTAATGCCCTTTATCAATTTCAGCTAATTATTCCATTACGTGCAAATCATCCAATGCCTTTTACTTAAAAATAGGGGGAAAAAAGTATAGCTAATTTGGCATTAAATTTGCAGGCAGGAAATTGTGTCATTGTATATTAAATATTTACTTATAAGGCATTTTATTTAACATGAAAAAGACTGTTTTAGTGGTTGTAACCATTTCAAAAATAAAAGATGGTAAAAGATTATGAAACTATTTCCTTTTTAAGCTATGGACTTCAGATGTTGGCTTACTGGCAATATTAATTTTTTCTTATAATGAAAATTCTCAGCTTTCAAAAAGAGCAGAAAGAGAAACCTGAAATTGGAATATCATATACCATCACTAACCTGATTCAGATTTAATAGGGATAGAAGAATAGAAAAATATACCCTCCAAATAATAGGGAATTGACTTAAAAAAAAAAAAAGTCACTTGAGAACTCTCAGCTGTATTGTATGTGAGTTAAATTCTCAAGTTTACTCAGTTGCTAACTGCCAAACATTGACATTAACTTTATTTGAGCTTCCTTGATTACTGTTTGAACCCTTTGGGACTTTGTTTCTCCCCAGCAACTTAGGAGCAGACTTCTGAGTAACACCTGCAGGTGTGCATTTCCTTGAAGGTGTTCAAAGCAATAAAAAATATTCCAAACTCATTTAGGAAGTTACTTATAGGGGAAGATTTAATACTATCGTAATTAGTGAACACTTCAAATTAAGTTTGACAGTGGGGTTCACATGCTTTAGGTCCAAATGTTCTATCATGAATTCATTTTTTTTTTGGAGGGAATATATGCATTGTTTACATTGATCTAGAGAATACAAAAGTTTAGTAGAATTCCTTGCTGCCTCTTCTGAGGCTCAAATAATAATAAATTTTACTAGAGGAAGAAAGAGTCAAGTCAATAACAAGATTGATGGGTCTGACTTGCATATGTTTATTTTAACCACCCAAATTTTCTATTCTTTATAGTCACATAACTGAGCAAGGCACTAGGAGGAATTAAACTAGAGGATCAGGGAAGTGAGACTCAAAAACCTGCCATTGTGTAATTTTTTTTTAAATTTTTAATATTTAGTTTTCAGTTTTTGGTGGACACAACATCTTTATTTTATATTATATAGTGCTGAGGATCAAACCCAGTGCCCCATGCATGCCAGGCGAGCATGTTACTGCTGGAGCCACATCCCCAGCCCTGCATTGTGTAATTTAATGTGGCCCATCGATAGTCTTACTCTCTTATAAGTACCACATGCTAACCAGTTTCTATTGGAGCTCTTATAATCTTATTCTCTTGCATTAAAACTACACAAGCTGTAAGAAAAGAATTCTTGCAAACTAAAGACTAGTGACTGAGAAGGAATAAAAGGCGTAAGTGTCAATAATATTTTTTACAATTCCATAGAACACCATCAACTATCACAGGCAAGGAGATATAATCTTGTAGTCATAATCTTTCACTAAATAACATTCAATAATAGTCCAAAAGGGACAGATTCAAAATATGAAGTGTACTGTACCTATAATGAAACAGGAAGGTAGAATCAAACTAACTTCAGGGTACTTGGAGATACTTTGTATGGACTGGGAGGAGGTACACCAAAAGACTCCAAATGTCAAATGTCAAATTATGATTAAGAGCAATACTGACATTTACCAGATTTTTCATCACACAAAACAGTTTTGGAAGTACATAATTGGAGATTCTAGTAAAGGAAGTTTGTAGCTTATAAAACTATCCATTTCCTTCATATAATCCATTACTTACTATTGACTTTATTGATATTTCCTTGGATTTCTGCTTGTGTCAGCAGTTCTTCATATGCATCTCTTTCTTCTTCTGAAATACAGCTATTCTGCAAAACAAAGTCTTCAACTGATTCCTAAGGTTCAATAAAATCTTTCCAATGCTCAACACTTGAATGCAAAAATGCAAGCAGTGATTTAAAATAACCCAGCAGATGAGGTAGAGAGGGAAGATGGGAGGGGAGGGGAGGGGGGATAGTAGGGGATAGGAAAGGTAGCAGAATACAACAGTCACTAATATGCCATTATGTAAAAATGTGAGTGTGTAACCGATGTGATTCTGCAATTTGTATTTGGGGTAAAAATGGGAGTTCATAACCCAATTGAGTCAAATGTATGAAAGATGATATATCATGAGCTTTGTAATGTTTTGAACAACCAATAAAAAAAATTAAAAAAAAAATAAAATAACCCACTAGTTTTCATTTCAGGTCAGTACAAACACTTGTGAAGTGCTTGCTCTGTGCAGGCAACTAGGGGAGAGACATTCAGCAAGAATTACAAAGGACAGATCCATTGACTCTTAGAAAAAGGCTAAACTTCTAAAGTGGAAAATATTAGGCTTCATGACTTAGAATTGGGGTTTTTGTTGTTGGGAGTTTGGTGTTGGGGGGGCGCTAGGGATTCAACCCTGGGCCTCACACATGCGAGCCAAGTATTCTACCACTGAGCTACACGCCAGCTCATTTTTAAAAACTGTATTTGGAAAGATGGTCTAAGTTGTCCAGGTAGGGCCTTGAACTTGGAACTCTCCTCTCTCAGCCTCCTGAGTAGGTTGAACGACTAAACCTGGCAGTCTTGTCAATTTTTAAAGTGAAAAACAGCTAAATATTGGTAATTTCACTTGATTTGATCTAATAAAATTAAGAATGCAAATAACAATTATTCACAACAGAACAGAACAGATTCTATTAAAAAACAGATTCAAACTAAATTGGGAAGGAAACTTTGAAAAGCATTAACAACTGAGGAGGGTTTGGAGGAACAGAGTAACCATAAAGGCTGATTGGGTGACAGGAGGTAGACAGCAGGAGTTGGTCACACAGGTCACAAAGCTTGCCATGTTGGGCCATCAATGGAATATATGTCCAGGGTTAGCTAAAAAGGTAGAGAGGAGAGGTCAGTTAGGCCTCATGGAGGCCTTTGAAGGCCAATCTAAGGACCTGTACTTAATTCAGTAGGCACTAAAGAATCAGAAGAGGTTTTGGGTGGGGTGACATCAGATCTATAGTTAAAGATTAATTTTGCAAACTCAAGCTCTGAGAGGGGTTGGCTTGGAAAATGACAGGAATCAGGGAAACCCCATGAGGGAGGTGCTATGAGTCCTATGACAAGGTCAGGAGGGTAGCACTAAGACAAGTTTGGTGAGACTAGACCAGGCACTGGATTTAAGTTGGCAAAAAAAAAAAAAAAAAAAAAAAAAGGACAGAATATAGCCATGAGTAGGACAGAGGGTACACAAAGAGTTCTGGACAAGGTGGTAGTCATTCCAAACCAAGGACTCGGGGGAGGAGCATTGTGAGGGTGGAGATGAGCACTCTTCTGCTGTGGTGGAGTACAAGGCCTGGGAGACAGGGACGATGAGATCTGGAGGAGTAGTAGAGAGGCCTATTTGAAAGGAACTTGTACAAAGTTGACAGGTGACTTCCTCAACAAGTAGATGAGCTCAATGGAGGAAAAACAGAGAAGTGATCAATGTCGGACCTGGAAGGATCTCTATGTGTAAAAGGAGGAAGAGGAGGAGACACTAAGAGATCAGGGCTGATGGCTACCATGGCAGCCAAGACACATAACCTGAGGGAGCAGACAATCTCAAGGCAGTGGATGCTGGTAGAAGCTACCAGGTGAGGAAAAGCCATAAAAATAATGTGGCTAAAAGTGACTAGAAAGAGCCCAATGAGAGAAAGCTGGTGATGAAGTAGAAGTCCTCAGTGTGGACAAAGCTTTCAATAACTGGTTAGATGGGGTTAGGATCAGGAGCAATTTGTCTTGCTGAGACATATTTGCTACCTTTAAATATATGAAGGGTTAACTCTTAGGAAAAAATTAAGATAGCAGATTAAAAACTACCCTCTTTAAACTTTACCACATTAAATCATTCACCTCTACTAATAAATACAAAGTCACTTGGCCAATACAGGATCTGCTGACGGTGATCTTTGGCTACTACTTCTATGTTTTCTGGATAAGGAGTATGTTTATGACATGACCTTCAATCCTTCCAACCTATAATATTCTTCATAAAAAAAAAAGTCTATCTAATTTTGGTATGTAGTATATGGTCTTCTTTCACCCTTACATTTCCAAACCAACTATCTATGGACAAAGAAAGTTGATTTTAAAATATTATTTTAAAAAGTAAGGCTTTTTAAAACTAGTAAATCATATTCATAACTGTATTTATTACTCAGAATCTTATTAAGTACCTTCAGTCTTGCATTTTCTTCTTTTTTCTTTTTGGCTTCCCAGAGTTCTTTCTGATACTCCTGTGCGAAGTTGTCATTCACTAAAGTTAAAACTGCGTTTGGATTTCTTAGTGTTATAATGGTCTGCTCTGCTACTCCCTTTTCAATAGCTTCATTAATGGCTATAACTGCAGCATGTACTGCAAAATTAAGAGAAAAAAGAGAATTTTGTCAACAAAAGACAACATCAACAGTTGCCTTGACATTACATGAACTCAAGCAGTTTTATTGTCTTCCTTGGCTTCTAGTAAGTATGGAGATAGAGATAAACATCAGAGATATCATGGAGTACCTGACAATCTTTCCTCATGTCCCTTTGTCTTTTGTTCTGATTGCAGCATCTGTTAAGTAAGCCCTATTTGTTTATTCAACTTGCACTGAATGGCTAAAATGAGCTAAGCACTGTCAATCATTAGGAATTCAGAGATATGAACTATGGTTCAGAAATATGCTCTATGGTTAAGGTAATATAGCACATTTTAAAGTAATAAGTAGATTCCAAGGAATACCTCTAATTTAGCTTGTAACCCTAAAAGATTCATAGCAAATGTACCCTACTACTAAAATGTAAAGACACAGAATGTAGAAAAATATTTTGGAGAATGAAGATATTTCTGGAAATTCTTAATTCACCCTGTACACGTGAACGTTGAAAGTTCAAAATCAATTACTTGATTACATTCTGACAGACATCCTCAAATTAACTAACTATAATACATACAATAATGACTTTCAGCATTCTTAAAATATCTTCTAAATATACTATTTTACATCATAAAAAGAAAAAAATAAAGTATGGGTAAATTGCATATCAATGATATGTTTGGATTTTAGATAGACTTACATGCAGCTTCATCCACAGACAGTTCATTGGCCAGAATACCACCTATTTTGCTGAAAGATGGCATTTGTATTCCATATTTCTCAAGTTCTTTTCTCATATTACTGATTTCTTCCTCTAAAAAAGAACAATAACAAAATGAAATAAAGCCACATAGAGAGAGATGGCAGCAGGAATGAGTACATTCATATCAATAAATGCCTCCTCTGGAAGGTGAAGCACTTTCTAAACAAGGGCATTAGGAAGAGTCCAGCCTGAGAGTCTCATCACACAAACATGGGGAAAGGGCATCCAGCTGAATAAAACAAGACAGGTAAGTTTTCTCTTCTGGTTAACAAAAGAATCCACAACATCAAAATGAAAAAGAAAGTCTCGGTACTTTGTTTTAGTAACCAGATTGTTAAAAAATACATATATATATAGAGAGAGAGAAAGAATAGTACCTGTGAAGTCCACTTTGCCCAACAAATCCTGGATCTGGGGTGCTATTCCTAATTTGAACAGATATAAACTGAAAGACAAAGCACAAAATTATCAGGAACTTTTATCATCATAATTGTGGGGTGGGGGGGATACAGGGGATTGAATTTGGGGGCTCTTTGCCATTGAACTACATTCCTAGTTCTTTATATTTTTAAATTTTGAGATAGGGTTGCACAAATTTTCCCAAGCTGACTTTGAACATTCAATCTTCCTGCATCAACCTCCTCAGTTGCTGGAATAATAGGCATGCACCAGCACAGCTGGCTTATCATAAATCTTCAGTTGAGAAGGACTTAAGACATACCATATCCAATCTATTAATTTTACAGATGAGGAAAGTGCATGCCAAGGTGGCATAGTCCCTGTGGAACTATGAACTACTTAGAACTCCAGTCTAAGTGGCAGAGCTGGTCTTCTATAATACACAGCATTTCTATTGCATCAACTAACTCCATCATTCATTTGTAAGGAGAATAAAAAATTCAGCTAATACAAAACAGCAGGTAATAAATACAACCAACATTTCTACAAATATTCCTTACAAGATTCTTATTTGATTGAAAGTACAGCTTGGATTTTATTTTTGTTGCAGCTGTTGTACTGACAACTTAACCCAGGAGTGCTCTATCCCTTGAGTTAAACCCCAACCCTTATTTTTATTTTAAATCAGCATGTGGATAAGTTGCAGAGACTGGTCTCAAATTTACAATCTTCCTGTCTCAGCCTCCTGAAGTCCCTGGGATTACAGGGATGCACCACCCTGCCTGGCTATATCTTTATGCGGGGGTGTGTAATAGGAACTGAACCCAGGGGCACTTAACCACTAAGCCTTAAAAATAAAAAAAACAATATTAAAAAAAAAAAAAACTTGAGACATGATCTTCCGAAGTTGCTTAAGGTCTTGCTAAGTTGCTGAGGCTGGCTTGGAACTTGAAATCTTCTGGCCTCAGCCTCCTGAGGGGCTGAGATTACATGTGTGTAACACTATGCCCAGCTATATTCTTATTTTTATAATAAATCTCTAAAATCACCCAAATTTCCAGATTGAAAATGTATACAACATTGAAAACTTTCAATGTATTTTGCCAATATTTGATTTTTAAAATTACATTCACTTATCATTTATGAGAAAGGTTGTTTTTTTTTTTTAAAAAAAGCCCTTTTGTCCCTTTGTGAGATTTTTAAAGTTAACTTCAAAAAATATATATATTTTTGGTAGTACTGGGGAGAGAACTCAAGGGCACTTTACTACTGAGCTACATCTCCAGCCCTTTTAAAATTTTGAGATAGGGTCTTCCTAATAAGTTGTCCAGGCTGACCTTGAACTTATGATCCTCCTGCCTAAGTTTTTGGACTTGCTGAGTGTTAAGATTTAGAGATGAGAAGTCCTCCAAGAGCTCATGTGTGAGACAATATAAGAAGGTTCAGAGATGAAATGATTAGATTATGAGAAGTGTGACCTCATCGATGGATTCATCCTCTGATAAATTAACTGGGCAGTAACTATAGGCAGACAGGGTGTGGCTGGAGGAGGAAGGTCACGGGGGCACACCTCTGGGGTTTATATTTTATCTCTGGCACCTGGAGCTCTCTGTGGTTCCTTGCTGCCACATTCTGAACTGCTTTCCTCCACTGCATCCTTCTGCCATGATGTTCTGCCTCACCTTGGGCCCAGATCTATGGAATTGGTCATCTATGGACTGAGACCTCTGAAACTATGAGTCATATAAACTTTTCCTCCTATAATGTTCTTGTCAGGTCTTTTGGTCACAGTGATGAAAAGCTGGCTATAACACTAGGATTAAAGGTGTGTACCACCATGCCTGGCTTGACTTAATTTTCTAGCTCTGTTCTCCTAGGAACCTAGTAAAGGTACACTGTCAACTTCATTACCAAGCTTCACCACTTGGGGGGGGGGGCGGTGGTAACCTGATTGATCAGTATATTTTGACCTGAAGGAATCAAAATATACCCAACATGCACCATATCTTTCGGCCCTCCTGAGTTCAGTAACCTTTATAACTGATATATACCTTGCAGAGAAATGGAAAGCTATGTAGTAGGGACAAAGTAGTTACAATAGACAGCAACTCCCAGGGGAGTGAAGCTTTTAAGCCAGGAGGCTTGAACCTGCCAATATGACTCCCATTTCTTAGCACCAAAGTTGTTGCTAGTGTACCGGAGAATAGCTTCTAGATGGCTATGTAGACAACCATGTGGAGTATGTGGAAGATTCCCAGGGAGAGCTGTCCTGCCAGTTTGCTGGGCCTCTAAAGACTCTCATCCTAAGCAACTGGTGCCAGGTGTGGCTTATGGCAGATGTGTGAAGTTGACTGTCATCAAGTCATGTGAAAGCCATTTTCTTTGTCCATTTATCACCTCAGAATAACAGCAGAGACTTTCCCAGTTAGGGACTGGGAGTATAGCTTAGTGGCAGGGCACTTGCCTAGCATGTACAAGGCCCTGGGTTCAATCCAAAAACAGCGACCAATCAATCAACCAATAAATAAATAAATCCTTTCCCAATCTAATAGCAACAGCATGTTAAGTCTATATTTCCTTCATTAGTGATGAGGTTAAAGATATAATGACCATGTACATTTCTTCCAGGAAATGTGTATTACTGAATTTTCAAATTTTAAGAATTTTGAGTGGAGGCGAGGTCCTTTCTTTTACTCCTCACCTCAAAATTATACCAAAGGACAAAGAACAAGTGGTAATTTTAATTTCAGTTCTAAACTCCAAAGTGATATTCCTATCTTGTCTAAGGGAAAAAAATATATTAAACTTTGGTCATTCATCAATGTGAAACAGCCATTATATATTCATAATTCAAAGCTAGAAAGACAGGATACATTTTTTAGTTTAAGTTCTAGGTCTTTTGAGATCATCAAAGATACAAAACTGTTTACACAGCTATTGAGGACTTTATTACCAAAGGTTCATGCTAAACAAGTCATTATAATTAAACTAGATCATTAAGACACCATGTTGACATTTTGTAAACCATAATATTTTATGAGCCATTTCCCAACTCATTTCACATAGAGAAAATATTCCAGTTGAAAGGCAGCCCCTGGGTTGGAGATGCAGCTCAGTGGTAGAGCACTTGCCTAACTGTCCAAGGCCCTGGGTTTGATCCCCAACACATACACACATACATACATACACACATGTGTTAAAGAAAAAATATAAAAAGGATGCATGAAATTAATGAAACATCATCCTCTTCACTAGCACCTTTCTAGTAATAGGAACTTCAAAATTAAGTGGAATTTAATAGGTATAGCCAAGCAGCAAAAAGAATCCTTGAGGAAAATAAACTATTATTTAAGAAATGACAATAAACAAATGATGATAAATGTAACTTTGTGCCAACTTTTTTCATAGTACCTGACTTGCAAATCTATCTCTTCCCTTTCTACAAATTTTAATATACATCTAAACTAACCCATGAAAAAAAATATTTTAAAAAGTTGGTGAGTCAATTTGAAAATTCGACAGTAAAACTTAAGTAGCAGACATCCATAAAATATCTTCTAGCAATTTATATCTATTTTAAGTACTAAATGTGTTCTCTTTAATGTGTATTATCATATTAATATCCTATTAAAATTTTAATATACTTTAAAATTTATATTTTTATAGCAAACCTAAGCTAATTAGTATCTATTATTCTACATAGTTCCACTTCTATTTCTCTACCCACATAATGTTGAGATAATCTAAAATTTTAGATCCAAAATTTATTTTTGTATTATGCATTGATAATTTAGATAAATATAAATTCTATTAATTTCTTTTCTAGTTTTATCTATACAAAATTTCCTCTTTCCTAATTTTATCTTTGGATCTGGGGGAGTAAGTGGTAGAGAACTTGATTAGCATGTGGGAGGCCCTGGATTTGATTCCAAGCACTGTCAAAAAAAGAAAAGAAAAAAGAAAAAAAAAAAGCAAAACCAAAAAAAGTCTATCTTTGGTTCTGCTATGTATAAGTGCTTAATAAATATTTGTTAAGTGTATAAATTGGATGACTGTCAATTGTACATTTTTTTTTCATCTCTTCCTTAGATATTAGTTCTGTTTGTGGTATCAAATGCCTCTTTCAGTGTCATTTTCCTTTAAACCTCTGACATCTTTTGATGTGGCACTTATCTTGGGGTTTGTGATTTGTAATCTGTCCATTTTTGACTGCCAACCCCCATGGTAGGAGCCAGCACTAGGGAGGCTATGGGAAAACAGTGGGACTGATGCCAGGAGGTTGTCAGAGTCTTTCCTTCTGAGATTGGGGTCTCCCTGACTCTTCTTGAGGCCATCGGGTATCTTGGGTACTGGGAGGCTCTGCTTCCACCAGCACCTATGCTTGCTGCTCTCGGGAGTGGTCAGAGGCTCCTTGAAGCTGATGACTTCTTGCTTTGAGGCTCTCTTTCTGGCTCTCTTCTTGGAGCCAGCCCCACAGAAGCTCCTAATTCTGATGCTTCCCTCTGTTTTGTGGATTATGGGCTTTTCCCATATTGTTTTTCAGTCAATCCAATTCCTTCTTTTTGTTTTGTGTCAGAAGTTGTTCAAATCTCTGGATGACATTCTTTTTACTGTACGTACACTTTTAAAATTTTCATTTTTACTTTTTTGTTCACTATAATTATACATAATAGTGGGGTTTGTTATGTCATGTTTGAATATGCATATAATATAATTTGATCAATCTTATTCACCAGTAACTTCCCTTTCCTAAGTGTATTTTTTTTTTTTAACATTAAAAGTTTCAGGTCTGGGGATCCAAGATTGCGGGCCAGAGAGAGAGAGAGCATTCTGTGTCACTCTGTGACCAGGGTCTCAATTAGTGGGAATAATGCTTTGCTGAGAGTGATCCCGCACAGGAATCACAGTGGCCATGCACATGGGGCCCCTGGCCTCAGCATTAGAAAAGGACACCTGACTCTGACTACTCAACCACTCAGGTCTTGCATGTGCCTTAGCGGGACCACATGCAGGTACTCTGGCCACCACTCCCGTGTAGACCCCCAT